CATAAAAGGAAGACTAAAGTTCTCAGACCATACATTTTTAGTGTTTAGCATAATGTACATGCTGAATGTTATCTGGCATCTTTCTTTCTCTACAGCCAGTTTGTTTGTGCTGCTAAGTAGAACTTAAAAATTTCTGCTGTGGCTTAGAAACTAAATGTCTTCAGTGTCTATTTGCATGCTTATCAATATGAAACTTCATATGGGGTTAAAAATTGTCTGAAGTTGCAATATTGTGAAATTTAAGTAAAAAGTCAAGGAAAAAAATTACAGCATTTTATTAAATGTAATGCATGATATTGGATGAATTCCAAATGTTAGAGTGAGGAAAATAGAGAAAGAATTCCCTTCTTTACTGAAACTGTTGATGTTTGTGTAGAAGAATAGAAATTACTTTGGGCTTGACGTTTTACCATGATTGTATAAAAAAGGCTTCAGAAGATAGTAAGTGACCTTAAATATTCTTTTTCAGAAGTACACAGTGTTCTTTACATGTTTTAATGCTTTAGAATATATTTTTTCCTTCCTTGCACATGTCTTACAAGCTGTTTTAAATTTCTAATTCAAAGTATTTGAGCTTCATTTTCTTCTAATTCAGAAGAGAGAGAACTTGTATATTTTCCCTAAAATGTGCTTGGAAATTTTATGTTTTCTTTTGTGCTATGTGTTTGCATTTTGAATTAAGAAACATTGCTATAGCAAGGAGGAATAGCATAGAAAGAAAGGGAAAAGAATGGAAGAGAGATGGGGCAAAAAGGAAGGAAACTGACCTACTCTGTTCTATTTTTATTTTGCAAAGTAAAAACATTATCTCTGACTTGGATTACTGCAGTGTTCTCCTGCCTGCTATCAAAGATCTAGCTTCCAAATAGCAGACTGAATTCTTACTTAAAAATTCATATCAGATAATGTTTAAAAGTCTTTACTAGTTTTTTCCTACATTTAGAACAACATTCAAACTCTTTACCATTGCCTTCAAGTGATCTGTTGCCCTCCAACTTCCCAAATCTCTCTCCTTAATCTCTGCTCCGCTTTTAAAAAATATCAAGACTTTTTCCACTTAAGTCCATTTCACTTGACATTCTCTTGCCTGGAATGCTCTTCCTCCTGTTCTGCTCATGACTGACTTCTCAAAAAATGTAGGTCTCGTCTCAAAATTCCTTATGCAGAGATACCTTCCTTGACTGATTTATCTAAATGAGAACTGCTTTCATTCCAACCCCCAGCAGGCTCTTAGAGCATTTTGTTCATTTATTTCTTCATAGCACATAGCACAATCTAAAATCAGTTTCATTAATGATTTATTTACCTGAGGCTTGTCTCCTTGGGTAAGGCTGTCAACACCTAGAAAGCAGGGTCTTTGTTTTGGTCATGTAGGTGTTCTCATTTACTATTAACAGTATCGGCACAGATTCTGTGCCAAACAAGTATTTGCAGAATAAGCAAATGAGTTAAACAAAGAATTTGGGTATGACTGAAGTACTGAGCCTATGTGTGTTTTCTTGAATAAGAGGATGACAAATTAGAAAACTTCTAGAAGCTCTAAAACTTTAGTGGGAAAAAGATTGCACAATGACAGATAGGCAGAAGTTATGCTACAAAGTTAGGGTCAGGGCCAAATCATGGATGTTCTTGAATGTCATGGTACATGGTTTCTGGAATCTGTTTTGTGGTCAGAGGATAGCTACTGAAGGTTATTCAGTAGTCAATGTGTACTTTTGAAATGCTCTTTTATTATTAGCCTGGAAAATCATTTGTGCCTCAGAGGAGTCTCATTCACTCACCAGTGGACAGGGTAGCTTCTGCATGCCAGCAGGGTGTTGATTTAATCAGCATTCATTTCTTTTCCATGCAGTATGACTGCCACGTACAGTCGTGGTGCTTCTGGGCTGGCAGGAGAAAATGTTTGCTTTGCCCTTCGTAGCCGGAGGTGAAATGAATGATGCAGTGCTTCCTGAAGGCGTTTCTTACCCCTATTTCTCGTATCTCAGTGGAATAGTGGGCTCCCTTAAAAGTGATACCATCTTGTTGTCAAATCATTTCCCTTTCTTCAATTGTTCTTTATTTTGCAGCTTGTTTTTCTAATGCATAGAGTTACCCTCACATTAGAGTTATCCTCTCCTGTGGTTTGTCTTATTTTGGCCTTTAAAGAAATCCAGTTTGAAGCCTTTAATACAGTTTGCTTTTTGTTTGTTTTAATGGAGTAGTGGATAGATCCTTCCTTACCTGAAACCTAGTACTTACAAGGCCTTGTAATAATATCCAGCCAATAATATGGCATTATATGTAGCATACACATGTTCACCTGAACTTTTCCTACCACTTCAGATGTGTGTATCTTATTTCTAAAATCAAGTACAAAGATATAAGCTTCCAGTTAAAATAATGACCTGTTTTATAGACTTTGGCAGCCAATACTAGTTTCCTGAACTGGTTCACAATAATTTAAAAGCCTTGGCCAGTTCAGGAATAAATTTTATGGTTTAACTTTAAGTAATGGAATCTTTTTATACTTTTTATATTGGGGATGATGGTATTATGTTCAATACCAGGTTATAAATAAGGAAAGTACCAAATAAGGAAAAATCAGTGTGGTCAAATTTAAGAAAAAGAACCAACATATTAACATTGACTGGCAGTTTTCAAAAGCTACTGGATCACATTCATGGAAGATAATCAGTACTGGAAGCTGTCAGTGGGAATAATGACTTCTGAGATGTTATTAAACTTATATCCTTTTAGTACATTGTAGCTTATGAAGCACGCTCACATGTGATATACTATTATGCCTTTTGATTTGTGTGTAAAAGATTTACTTACCAGAAGTTATTTTTTTTCTTCTCTTAGATATATAATAGGCATCTTCTATATGTAAAGTAGAAAAAAGAGATAAATAAGTCATGTGGTCCCTTTCCTCAGAGAGCTCTGCTAAGGGAAATAAACATACTCCGGTAAATACAATGTATGTCAGCATATAATCACCAGTAGAAGAGAAGAGATGATACCTTAATGCTTGACTATAGGTATAGGGTTGAGAAAAGATCTCTTAGAGAAGACAGAATTGAAGTATGGCTTTGTAGGATATTTTAGATTTCAATAAGAAATGACCAAGAGACAAAGGATCTCTAAGTCAGTGAAACAGCCTGAGCAAAACGTGAAGGCTAGAAGATGAAAAACATAAATATTGATTTATGTTCCATCAACTAAAATGGCTGATGCTGTAAAACCAGAGTATGTCAGTACTAATCTGTTTTGTTCATAACTTATTGTTTGACTCTTAACTGGACGCAGTTCTCACCCACCATTAGAACCTTAAGAATCCTTATAAATTATGTATCCATGAAAGCTATAGACTACACCCATCATTAAGGAGAGCATATTTACATCCTTGAAATTCATAGGTCATTTATATGTAGTATTCTATTGTTTATTTTATTAAGGCTTTAGTGATTTCTGAAGAACATTCTTATGTATATTACACAATTAATTTTTTCCAAAATCTTATATAGTAGATGATGGTGTGAGGATTTTATGGGCATTTTCTTAAAGGAGAACTGAGGCACAAATGCTTAGATGACATTTTCCAGGTTCATTTCATTAGGAGGTATAGACACACAGCCAATTTACAATCTATCCTTTTTCATCTATACCTATATAAACTTGTTACTTTGTAGATATCCACAAAACTCATATTTGTGTGTGTGTGTGTGAGAAATTGAAAAATTTAAATTAAGAAAGAAACCAGGTCCAAAAATTAGTAATTTTGACAGCCAAAATAATTCTGGGAATGCAGGATTGAGAACGAAGAAGGTAAAAGTGGCAGGGAAAGCTGATTTCAGACCAGTTTTAATGGAAAAAGGCCAATAGGTAAGAATATGAAAATTAAAGGGGAATATTATGCTATTATTAGACATGGTTAAGGATGTTAGGGCTTGAAATAGGGAAGTTTATGTTTTCTGTGGTGAGGGTTAAGATGCTTTATATACCACAAAATGGCAATAGCTGGAGACTTGGGAACCTATTATTTCCTTCTCTATCTTACTCATGCTTGAGTGGCCAAACTGTCAAAAGCATACTCAGTTGAATCTTATATGCTGTTCCATGACATTATATTTACTTGTTCAGGAACGATGAGACTTTATGTTATAGTTAAAAACAGACCAGACATAATTTAAATTTGCCATGGAAAGGACTACTAATGTAAATGTTCAGTTTCCTGATATGGGGCAAATGAATCTATCTATAGACATTCTTCATGACTAACACATAGAGAAACATCTTAAATTGAGTAAATTTAACTTCATTTTGTTAAAAAATACATCAGCACATGTTACATGGAGCAGTGTGGTAAGTGGTTTAGGAGAAAATTTATAGTGTCTTTGTAGTGATTATTAAAAAGTCTTTTTTTGTATCAATGTGAATCAAAGTTGCAAATTTGGAATCAACTACCTCTATGAAGGGAGTGTGGTAGAACATTGTCTGTGCTGTACTTAGCATCTTTTATTGGAATAATTTATTCCTTCTAACTTTGTATTTTTCACATTCTAAAGCCTGGTAACAAATTTGGTGGAGTGGAGGGTATACCCAGTCCCATCCTTTGAAAAGTTATAGGTTTGTTTATACTCCCATTGTCAGGATTAAGGAAAAAAAAAATGAGACAATAAAAGACAAAGATGTTGAAAATATGAATTAGAAGTGACACAACACTGGCAGCTTCTTATTTCGATTAATTATAAAACAGAGGCATAGTGATTCAATTTTCCACACAGAAGGCTTAGAAAATAGGGGGAAGAGAATAAACTGGGAACAAAGTATACATGTATCCATTCTCACTCAATTCGTAATAACCACATATCAATAGTACCCCCTGGAGGTTGAGTATAGTGAATCTGAACTGGAACCCAACCTTGACACTTTTAAGATGTGAGAACTTGGCCTAGTACTGAGCCTGGTTTAGAAATATTTGCCTTTATTTGATCCTTTTTTTTTTTTTTTCTCCGTAGCTTAACCAGCTGGAAAAGGCAGTGGAAGCAGCCCACACATTTTTCATGGCCAACCCTGAACACATGGAAATGCAGCAGAACATTGAGAATTACAGAACGATGGCTGGTGTTGAAACATTCCAACTGATAGATAGAGAAGCCAAACCACACCTGGTGAGCTCCCGGCATCCCTGCCAACCATGTGGTGCTAAGTGCTCCCAAGTTTTATTTGACTCAAAGCAGATTCCTGTGAATGGATATTGCAGATTGGTTCCTGATTTCCAACACAGTGACGTTTTTGTACTTTTGGAGTTATTAGATGAAATATAATAATTATCAGGATTGAAAAAATTGAGAGACAGTGAAAATTAATTTAGAAAATCAGTATGACACAGTGAAAAGTAGAATGTGATATACATATCTGTAACCATTTCTAAGCTTCAGCTCCCCCTCCAATGCTTATTTTACGCCCAGGACATGAAGCCAACGTGAACTGCGTAGTTCACGCTGTTCTTTTCTAGCTCCAAGTCCAGTGGTTTTTCCATTGTATCAGTACTTTCAAGTTCTGGTTTTTTTTTTTTTTTTTTTAAGCCACATAATTACTTGTTTAAGTGAAATCTTACTTAAAATCACATTATGTTGAAAGAGCTTCTTTTACAATTTGAGATGCTGCTATTTTTAACATGTGGCTTCTAAGATGTTTGAAGAAGATAAGAAAGGAAAAGTTTAAATGGAAGCATTTTTGGTTTTTTTTCCTAATTGAGCCAGACCTGGAAATGGTTGTCAAGTCCACCGACATCAGCCCTCCAGCACTTTGTTGCATGGTCCTACCTACACTCAAAGGGGTTAGAAAGTATAGTCTTGAGCGTGCTCAGGAAGAAAATAAAATTGATTGGTACCTCAGTTGTTGGCTTGCTCGGTAAGTCCTTTCTTATGTACAGTTGTTGAAGCCAGAGCAGCCCTTCTTTATCCTGTCAGAGCACAAGAATCCAGTACCCCACCTACCTAAGTGATCCGGAGTCTGCACGTACCCTGCTAGTCAAGTGCCCTGTGGGTGCTCTTCCGGGTAAAAAAAAAAAAAAAGGTTTTCTGTTTCTTGCAGGAGAGTTACAGTGCAGGAGTCAAGCATTACGAAGCCGATGACTTTGAGCTAGCTATCAAGTACTTTGAAAAAGCTTTGAGGGAATATTACAGTGAAGACGCGGAGTGCCGAGCTCTGTGTGAGGGGCCTCAGAGATTTGAAGAGTATGAGTACTTAGGGTATAAAGCTGGTCTCTATGAAGCCATTGCAGGTAAAGCTTATTTTTTTCTTTCATTTACTTTATGATTATAGATATACTACATGCAATCTGTGAAAATATTCCAACAATGTGTTATAGAAGTAGATATTGTAAGAAGTGAAAAATGTTCATATATCTAAACAAACCTACCTCCTATAGATAAACTTACATAGTTTAAATTTTGGTGACTATGCTTCCCAGACATTTTCAGATGCATATCTAAATATTTATGTATTTATTTTTGATAATTTCATTTTTATAAAAAAAGACAATACTATAAATACTGATTATTGGCATATTTTTTTTTGTTTCATTTTATGCTTAACAATATATTGTGGACTTCTGCCCATGTAAGTACATGTAGACCTAGTTTATTATATTTAATAGTTGCATAATGCTTCATCATATGGGGATGGCACAATTTATTCGACCAGTTCTTTACTGATGCATGTTAAGGAAGTCGTAATTTATTATAAACAATGTAGTAGTGAATCCTTTTGTATGGTCTTCTTTAATTATTTAAAAGAGTACTTTATTATATGTTGGAATTTAATGTGTTACAAATATTTGAAATATTTAAAATAGTGAGTAATGTATATTCTACATTAACTGAGGAAATTGGCTAGTTAACCATTTGTGGTGAGAAGTGAATTTTCTGCTGCATATGAAAATATACACACAGATGCATTCTTTTTATATTAATTATTTCACCGTAAAAAACAGAAGAAAATGCAAAACATTTGTATAATAGTAGGAGAGGAAAAGTTCTTTGCAAGACAAAAACAAGAAATGTGAAGAAAAAATAGACTTTAATGAGACTTATAAACACAAAAGATATAATAAATCAAGCTGATTTATAAATGACAAAGTGGAAAAAATTGCAAAAAAAATTACAGGCAAAGAGTTAATATCTTTATCTTTAATGTTAAAATGGAGCATGTCAATTATTAGTAATTTGTTATTTACAAGTAGTATTAATAGTAACAAACATTTATTTAGCAGTTACAGTATAGAAAACACTTATTTATATCTCTTTTAAGTCTCTAAACAACTTCTTATAATATATTATTGTTTTCACTCTCTTTTTAAATGAAGAATTTGTACTTCAGAAAATTTAAATGATTAAATTTAAGTGAAACTTGGAATCAAAACTAGGCTTTTCTCACTCTAGAGCCCATACTTTAAAGGCCTGAACAACTTAAAACTGGACAAAGGGTAATTTATTCAATAACAAATGTTTAGCAAATAATTGTTTAGTGAACAGTGTGTTCCAAGTTATAAATATATAAAAAACAGCAATCAACTTCACATGTACTCATAGAAATGCAAATTAATGAAGTCAATATGCTTTCCTTAACTTTCAACATTTTCTGTCTCCCTGAAAAAGCACCACTTACCTAGTAGCTCAAACCAAAACTCAAGAAGTTATGGATCTTTCAATCCAAAATTTCCCTAAATCCTTGTCCCCGTCTGATATGTCACCGGACTTTGATTGATGCTACCTTCTAATGGCACTGAGATTTCTGGGTTCTCTGCACCCCTTTTATTACCACCCTGGTTCAAATCAACAGTACATTTTAACAAAATCATTATGTCCTCTTCATGTTTTACTCTGTAGGCAGACAGAGTAGTATTCCAAAAAAAAAAAAAAAAAAAAATGAAAGTCTGCTCACAAACATCCTGAAAATCCTCCTCTGGCTCTCATTGCACTTGGAATAAAACCCAAAACCTTTAATAAGGACTTGCATGACTATACACCTGGTTATGTTTTCATCTTTATCCTTTTGTTTTCCTCTTTGTGACCCATTCCTTTGAATTCCTTGGATATGCAAAGCTCATTTCTAGTTACAAATCCTCAAAATATTCTTTTTCTCTGTCACTTGGCTAATGCCTTATCTTGTTCTGTGTTCAGTCCTCAATGTCTAAGTGCAGTGATTGGCAAATAGTATGTTCTTAGAAAAGGAATGGGTTGAATTACTGAAGTAGATGACATATCCATCAATTACACTGCAGAGATTAAAAGGGTTAATAATACCCTATATTTGTGAATAGATCATAAATTGTTAAGGTCCTTTAGAAGGGCAATTGGGGAATGTCTATTAAATTAGACAAGTTAGATCGAAAATCAATTTGTCAAATGACAAATTTGCCACACACTTAGTTACCCAAAATCAATTAAGTGCACTTAAAATCAATTCCAATATCTGAATTACTGAGGATTTCCCCCCAAGTTGTGTTGCAGGGGACCTCTGTCAGAGCTATTTGTCTCCACTTTTTTGAGCACTGCTCATTTGGATGTCAGTTTAATGTGTGTTACATTTCTATGTATTTCTCTAAAGAGAAATGTTTTCCTTTATTATAGTTTACTACGTTGCGGTTTTGTGGGGATATGTGTCTTACCTCCACTCCCACATTTGCCTCTACACCTTCCTCTACTAATGGCCACTAAACAGCCTTGGCAAATGTCCAGATCTGGTTTAGGAAAAATGACAAACATTTCCCCACAGTTTAGCATTTAGTAATTTGCTCAAGGTCACCACAGCATATTGCTGCTGGAAAAGAAGAGCTCTCCTAACTCAGGCCCTTAATACTTAACACAACTTCCAACACCATGACCCTCACTTCCAGTAAAGAAAAGTGATTTTAAAAAGGTTTAGTCCTTTTAGTTCAAACCAAATACTATGTATTATAGAAATATGGTAAGCCTTCTTGGGAGTTTGAAACATTCAATTTTCTATGAGATAGAAATTTTAGAAAGTATTACTACACAGCCTTTTGGATCTAAACTTATTAGAAACATATTAATTGCATGATAACGTTTGGTATAGAAAGGAAGCAAGGAATATAATAAATGATATTATAACTCTGAATTCTTGTTTGGTTCAAAACTGTGTTAAATGTGGAGTAAAACTGGTTTTTAAAATACAAGTTATTGAGAAAGCCAGAATATTTTAATTTTACTGGCAGAAGAACATTAAAAACTGGAGAAATATACAAATGGCTTCTGAATGCCATTATTTATTACTAGCCATGCTTGTTGAAGCCCTAAAATATATTATTGTGTCACTCTTATTTTGCTGTTATTTATACCTTGTTTAGAAAAATACTTTTAATCAGATTTTGATTTCTTGGTAGGTGTGTTTCCCACCTATTCCTTGTGCTTGTCATTTGGAATTAGGAGGAATGTGTATTGGGAAGTAATTGACCAGCTAACTGGGAAAAAACAGTCGGCGTTGTTTGGTGTTTTCTTAAGAGATAAAATACCTAGCTATTTATCACTAATGTGCTAATTAAATAAACAGAACACATTTTTTCCCTCACATTCTCCCAGTTAGAGTTAATAATCTTTGAGTTGCAGGGATTCTATAAGCTGTGCTATATTGGGTTGAGTTGGCCAAGTTATGTGAAAATTGGCCCATTTTCTTACTAGAAAATGTACGTTCCCTTTCTGTTGTGTTCTGGGGTTCTTCTTCAAGGTCATCAATATACATTCTGAACTCTCCCTAACACAGTACCTTTCAAAAGAAGGTAGCCATGGTAAACTAAATTGTACCATCATGAAGTTAACTGGTTTTATCATCATTCTCAAGAGAACCTGCTCACTCAGCGTGGGCATAACACACTATTTATTCTCTTGTTGGAAAAGACTACCTCCATCTTCACTGTAAAAATCAAAATTGGGGCAAAATATAGGAAGTATTTTTTTCCTCCTTTTCTGGTTCATTAGTCACTTGTGTTTTCTCAGCTCATGCTTGGCTGAGCTAGAGCCCAGAGTTGAGGCAAGCATGAAACCCCTTCACTTCAGCATCAAGTTAAATGGGAATAAAGAAAGTGGGACGAGGAGAAAGAGGCAAAAGCAAAGTGCTTATTTAAATTATTTAGCTTTCACTTTTCTCATATTTTAGCAGTCTCTAATAGGGGTGTCCAACCTGTGCCCTGTGGGCCACAGGCAATCCAGGATGACTATGAATGCGGCCCAACACAAAATCGTAAATGTACTTAAAACTTTTTTTTTTTTTTTTTTGCTCATCAGTTTTCATTAATATTTGTGCATTTAGTGTTTGGCTCAGTACAACTCTTCTTCTTCTAGTGTGGCCCAGAGACACCAAAAGGCCGGATACCCCGGCTTCTACAGTATTAGGATTTAGTGTAGTTAAATTTTGTCCAGGTGATGGGCTAATTTATATTGGCCAAATGGATTTCTAATCAGTAGGTTTAAAGGAATATTGTTTTTATTTCCCCTTTAGGAAAAGTTGCCTGAAAATGTTAACAAGCAGAAAGAACTTCTAGTTTACTTCTCTGCAGTGAACTCCCCACCTACAGGGCAGTTCCTTTCTCTCAACTGATCCTTTTCAAAGCCAGGACCTAAACTTCTGATCCTGACTCTGAAACACTTCAGGCTATCGAAAATCTGAAAAGAGGCCCTGAAGTTGTTAATTATAGAAAAGCAACTGTTTGGCTTGGTGTGAGTGGGGTGAGATGGCCTGTGTCACTTTCAGGAGATATAGAAAACAAGACACAGGAAAGAGTGCCATACAGAGGAAAGACCAGGAGCCAGAAGATCTGGAATCTACTATTAATTAGCTCTAGTGAGCACCAATTAGGAGGCCTTGGAAAGTCAGTTAACTTTCTTGGTGAAAAGGATCTCTGATCATTAAGTGAGTGTGATAATGGTGTGGTCCTCAGAGTGTGATGAGGCGAGGCATGCCCTGTGTGACTGTGGCTCTGACTCTGAAGTCTGGACCTTCAGCTGATTGGAGGAACCCACTTGCCGGCTCTTGTTTTCCAGATCACTACATGCAGGTGCTGTTTTGTCAGCATGAATGCGTGAGGGAACTTGCCACCCGCCCTGGCCGCCTCTCTCCAATTGAGAACTTTCTCCCCCTGCATTATGACTACCTACAGTTTGCCTACTATCGAGGTAAAGCATGAGTTATCTGTGAAGAGCTTTGGGAGAGGGGGAGGTGCCTGTCATTACAGAATTGCTCTCTCATCTCACAGCACCACGGCTCAGGGCAAGAAGAGCAGCAGGAGAAACTACAAATGAGCAAATGCTCTGATAACATCCCCAAAATTATACTTAGACTGATGTTTTATATGCTTTTTAATTTTTTTTTCAACTTAATTTTAAAAGGTAATATAGTCACAGGTTCAGAGACCAAATTTCATGAAAGTCTCCCTCTCTTCCTTTGTCTTAAAATTCGTAAAGGAAGAAAATTTTTTCCTTCCTTTTCAAAAATGAAATTATTGTTCAAATACGTGTGTCTCCATTTTCCCCCCACCACTCTCCCCTGCCCCACCCACTCCCATCTCCCACTCTCAATCCCTCCACACTTTGGCTTTGTCCGTGGGTCCTTTCTGCATGTTCCTTGACCTGACCCTTCCCCTTCTTTTCCCTGTTACCTCTCTCTCCCTCCTCCCCTCTCATTACTGTTGGTTTGGTTTTTTTTTTCAAGTTGCTGGTTATGTTTTTCTTGCTGGTTTGTTTTGTTGATTAGCTTCCACTTATAGGTGAGATCATATGGTATTTGTCTTTTACCCCCTGGCTTATTTCACTTAGCATAATGCTCTCTAGTTCCATCCATGCTGTCATGAAAGGTAGGAGCTCCTTCTTTCTGCTGCGTACTATTCCATTGCATAAATGTACCATAGCTTTTTGATCCACTCATTAACTGATGGGCACTTAGGTTGCTTCCAGCACTTGGCTATTGTAAATTGGGCTGCTATGAACATTGGGACGCATAGGTTCCTTTGAATTCTTTTCCCCACAACCTAATTTCATGCCCTACAACCCAGTTCTTTTATTTATTTCTCCAAAACTTATATAGAAATCACACACACACACACACACACACACACACACACACACACACACTCTCTCTCTCTCTCTCTTATTTCTGCCTCTTACACAAAGAAGATAGCATATTATTTATACTGTTCCCTACACCATTTTCTTCACTTAATGATACATATCAGATATTTTTTAGTAGGTTCGACCTACGAAATTACTATTTGCTTAGGTCAAATTTTGGTAATTTTATGATTCAACCTAATTGTATCGGTTCAGAGACCTTCCTATTAATTCTCTTTACATCTGCATATATTTGTACTATAAGTATTTCATGTGACTTTTCTGATGGGCATTGTGCTGCATATAATTTTTTGTTATGATAATCAATGAAAAAATGAATAACATTATTTTACATTTGAACATAAATACCTATAAGATGGATTTCTATGAATTGAAAGGTTTTATTCTTTTGTAATTTTAATAAATGTTGCCAATTTTTTCTCCATGGAGTTCATTTTTCCTTGCTCATCAACAGAATATATTATCAAATTGTCAGATATTCACCAATCCATTAAGTGAAAATTGATTTCTCAATATGGTTTTACTTTCCATTCATCTTATTAAGAAAGTGAGAGAGAGATTGAGCATCTTTTCTTATATTTAAGAATAATGAATAGAATTTGGATTGCTGAAATTAGTCTTAGGTATCACATTATCAAACTCAGTATGAAAATCAGAATTAACTCCTAAAATTTAACTCTGTGTATCTGTATTAAATAATGTAAGTTGTCAGCACACTCCAGGCTGAAACTTTTGATAATTTGTGCAAAATACAGAACACCAAAGCAGACCAAAAGAAATACCTTTGGAATACCTGAAATCATGTTTCTTTCATCTACCTGTACTATTTCTGATTACTTAGCTTCACCTTATCGTCCCTTATTGGTGTTTAATGCTGACTTCTCATAGACATGTTGAAGTTCAACATCCTTTAGACAGACCTAGGCTGACTCTAATGCCTCGACAACTTGGTCTTTTAGTTGGTGAAAATGTGAAAGCCCTGGAGTGTGCCAAGGCCTATCTTCTCCTCCATCCAGATGATGAGGATGTCCTGGACAATGTGGATTACTATGAGAGCCTGCTGGATGACAGCGTGGACCCGGCATCCATTGAGGCCAGAGAGGTGAGACCAAAGTCCTCAGAAGAAACTCTGAACTCTGCTAGGTGCTGTAGGGAGAGTTAATAAAACTACCAACACTGCATTTAAATATACCTAACAGTTTAGTAAAGGTTCTAGGACTCTGTCCTTTCAAATTGTACTAATGCCAGAAGCATATTTGTCTCACGTGTGCTAGCTTGTAACAATATGTTGAGATGGAGTCTTTTTTCCAGCTCTGCATGTGTATTTTTTTTTTGCTTATTATATCTGTCTAATGAAAACTTCCACTTGAAAATTTGTCATATCTCTTAGTTGTTATTTAAATTAAAATTTGTCTTTCATTTTTGTTCACTAGGATTTGGCAATGTTTGTGAAACGTCATAAACTGGAATCAGAACTAATACAATCAGCTGCAGAGGCCCTGGGATTTTCATACACTGAGCCGGTAAGAGCAAAGAGGAAAAAAGGAAAATTTTTTAAAAGAACCATCCAGGAGACTTATTATTTATAATTTTATGATCAAGCCTCATTTGTTGAAGATTCCAATCTCCTGCCTTAACAAAAACTAGAGATGTGCTTAAGCGTGTGTGTGTGTGTGTTGGGAGGGGGGTGTTGTTTACTCAATATAAGTGATAAACTTTAGAAGCTGTAGATCCCTGAGATCCAAAGTCAAAAGCAAAAATAGTTGGATAGAAGAGAAGTTATTTTGTACATGAAATGTATTTGCCTCAACTTTGTTTTATTTCCTAAATGATGGCTGCAATATTTTGTATTTTCTCTTAAACATTTAAAAGACTTCAGAAAGAATAAAATCAATCAGTTATACAACACAACATGCTGACTTTCTTTTACTTGTCCATGCTGTCTCCTAACCATTCTTTATATGAAGACATACCTTTGGCAGAACTAGTACTGTAGTATATAGATATCTTTCTGTTTTGATTTTTATTTCAGAAACCATAAGTAATTTTGATATGTCTACAGCTTCTAAAATTATTTTAGCTACATATATACAGTTGATGTACAATAAATAAACTCCTCCTGATGTTGAACATTTGATTTATTTTCTCTTATACTTAGTACATTAAGCATTTTTTTCTCTCTTCGAGCTACACTGTTTGAATAAATTCCCAGGAGTGGGATTACTCTGCCATCAAGGGATATGAGAAGTTTTAAAGTTCTTAAAATTGCTTTTCTGTGAGTGTTTTCTGACACCTTTATTGCTCCTAACAATACATAAAAGTACCAGTTTACTACAAAAGTCTCAGCAATGAGAAATAACATTTTAAAGTCATTAGTGTTAATTATATATTATTTAAAATATGCCACATCATTGTTACTTTAATTTGTATTCCTTTAACGACAAGCAAAAACACTTTCACATATTATTATAAATTACTTTTCCTCTAATTTGAATTGTCTAGGCATACATTTTTTTCATTTATGTCATTTTTATAAAAAGCACTATTTGCAAAATATCCTATTTGTAACATACCTTTTTTTTTTTATCTCTGTCTTAGTTATGTCATGTTTCATTGGCACATTTTAAAAATTAGGTTAAAGTTAATTTACCAATTCTAGTGTAACATTTCTAATAGTTTTATCTGGTCCTACCTATGATTTTTTTTTTCAAAACTTCATTTTCCCAAGATACCCCAGAAAAAGCAACTTAGTTACTTTATTGTCCTGTAGAGAAGATCAATCAAGCTGGACTCTTTGTTTTATTCATAAAACATGAAGTAATTAGACTGAATGATTTTTTGAATGTCTCTCTGATAATAAATTCTAAATCACTTTCTTGGACAAAACAATGGGTATCCAAGGTAATTCCATGCAATTTTTTACAAATCTGTACATTATCTTGTATTTTTCAAAATTGTATCAACCTTAACCTTTCTTTTTATTATTTTTAAATAAAAAATGTATCTTTATATGCTATACAAGTTTCATAACATTATAGGTCTTTTGAATGTTCTAAGGGCATTCTATTTATGTAAGTTATGTTTTAGTGACAAAACTACTGAATTTCTTTTTTTTTTTTTAATTTAAAACAGAATTATTGGATTCGATATGGAGGAAGACAGGATGAGAATAAGTGAGTTCTCCATTCAGAACACCAACTGTGTATCTTTTAAATTTTTTTCAAAAGTATAATATTTCTTTAACTTTTACAAATTTTTTCAATTATGGTTGCCAGATAGTATGGAATTTAGGGGGATGGATGAAAAAGATGAGAGGATTCAGGCGTACAAATTGTCAGTTGTAAAAACAGTCATGGGGATGTAAAGTATAACATAAGGATTATAGTCAATAATATCATCATAACTATGTATGGCATCAGATATGTAGTACACCTATTGGGGGGATAACTTCATAAGTTATGTAAATGTCTAATCACTATGTTGTACACTTGAAGCTAATATAATATTATATGTCAACTGCTTTTCTTTCCAGTCATAATAGGGTTTATTTCTTTTTTTTTAATTGTTGTTCAACTGTTTATTTTTAATGAAAAGAAATGCTTAGAGTCATACCTATTATAGGAAACATAGCTCTATGAATAGGCAAAAAGATATAATTAAAAGAGTTCTAAACTGGGAATTAAGAGCTCTGCATCCTGCTCTCAGCTGACCCTGTCCCTTCTGTGTAACCTTGAGTAATATTCCTCTGTGGGTCTCATGGTTCTTCTCAAATTAAGGAATTTGATCAAGTGATCTCTGAGGAATAAACATTCTAAAATTCTAAAGAAGACAAAATTGGATTTTTAAAATTTATTAGTCCAATAAAACTATGATGTTTTCTTGTTAATGCTGACCTCCCTCACTGTGTTTGAAAGCAAGAAGCTCAGAAAGCTTTACTGCAACCTAAAATATTAAGTGTCACTAACTCAATTAAAAATGAAGATAACTTATATTTTGAAATGATAGAAGTCAAAAATCAACTTACATGTTATAAGCAGTTTAAGGAATCAGAATGTTGGGGTTACATATCTGAGGTCACATAGACTAGCCTATTCATTTTCAAATTCTAAAGCTGAGGGTCTGACAAGGCCTAAACGACTCTCTTAGAGTCCCACACCAGATCTTCTTACTCAAAAATCTCAGTCACTAGACTTCAAGGACTCAGCTTCAGGGTGGCCTAGAATTGTTGTAACAGATCCAAGAATGCATATGTACATTTGGATGTGTTCAATCTGTGTATATTAAAAGAACATCATACAACTGTAACACCAATTAAATGTAATTAAAAAAAAACAGTGGATGCAGAAAGACTTAGGAAAAAAGAACATCGTGCTATCCTTTGTGTATTTGCAAAGTTTGACACAAACTTGTGTCTTCTTTTGCAAAATAATAGAGAACACTAGGACCTGATTCATTTCAATTCAGTCATTGTTCAGTGATGAACACTTTATGTTAAGGACATATAATGTGACACTCTGAGCATTATACAGATGCACATGATAATTTTTTCCTACTCTGTTGTGATTCAAAGTCTAAAATTAAGGGGGTTAAGTTATGGATACAATGAACTGTAATAAAGGTTACTAAGAAAACCTAGAGAAGTAAAATAGAGCTCACTCATTGGAGAAAGAGAAAAGAACTTCGTGGAGGCAGTGACATTTAATTTGATCTTGAAAGATAAGTAGACTTCTGTACAACAAAAATATAAAATATGGAGTCATAGACTACCTTGATAAAGTATCCTTTTGCCTTGGAATGTCTTTATTCAATGGGAAATTGCTATTTCAACTTTTTTGAGTGAGCAGGGTCCCTTCAGGGGTAAATGCGGATGGGGCAGAAGTTCATGGATTGTCAACGGGGAAAAAATCATCACACAAGATAGACCGAGTCCTAAGAGAGGGTAAGTATCTGTGCACGTTTACTTTTAGAAGGAGGGTAAGGGTAGGATAGGACTTGATCAGTTCTTATTCAGATCAAGGCAGAACCCACTTTCTCTGGAAAACAAAAAGAAGGACTAAGCTACTGCAGTTCACGGAATTCTGAAAGCAAGGCTTAAAAACAAGAATATCTCAGATTTGTGTATCATCACCTTTGGTTTCCAAGGAAAGGACTTCTTTTTTCGAGAATCCTGCGAGCCAGACAAGGATGGTATGATCACTGCCATTCTCAGTTGAGTACCTGAGGCTTAGAGAGGTCACATGGCTTTATTTCTCTCACATTGAGAGTGAGTAGAGCTAGATAATATGGAATAGACTGTGTATTAGAGGAACTTGAAGAGACAGATTTCAAGGGATACTAGATTAGTTAATCTAAGATGTTTGATGCTCATATGTCTGAGTAAGGCTAGGAGAGAAAAGTAGAATTTAGGTTGAATTTACAAAGATGTAGAGGGAGCCATTCTAATGGATAAAACAAATAGAATAAAGGCATAGAGATAGAGCAGAGCATCATATGGCTACTTAAGTAAGATCGAAATCAGTGGAGACATAGGTGGAGAGTTGCCAAAAGTAGTCTTTAAATACATTCAAGCATTGTTATTATAATAAATTATTAGCAATAGTAGTACTAATTTCATAAGTACTCTTTAACAATTATTATTCATTTTTGATAATTTTTCAAGCAAATTTCCTTTTTATCTATTTAATTTTTTTTACATTAAATATTATTTTGTATTAGTTTCAGGTGTAGAGCATAGTGATTAGACAATCACGCACCCTGCAATACAGAGTTCCTTTTAATACTGATGGCATCTCATGTGAGAAAAGTATCCCCACTTCGCAGACGAGAACAATGAGGCTAACGGAGATTTAGTGCCTTGTCCAAAGTCTCATAGCTCATGAAGGTTGAACAGCCATTTAAACCTAGGCTTTTGAGTCCAAACCCCATGTTTGGATTCACCTGATGATGGAACATAGAATTGCCTAAATATTCAAAATGTACCTCATTGATTAAATAATTGCAAAATTGGAAGAGGTTTTCAAAAACCTTTGTTGAGAAAAAGTACAGTACTCCTTTCCCAGACAGGAAGCTTGTCAGCACATCCTTCCAGCTGATCTGAAAATTACTGACTCTGTACAGCTCATATTTCCAAGCCTTTTCCTTCCTTATCTTTCAAGTCAGTGTGAGGCAGTAAACAGGATAATATCCTCATCTAATTTAACCTGGACCTTAATTTGTAGCTACAAAGCCCAAGTTGTTTCACAAGTGCCAGAGAGCTTCTTTGTCAGCCAGAGGTCATGTTGCTTTTTAAGCAGAGAAATCGCCCAGGAAGTACGTGACAATAAGCCAGAACCTCCCTGTAAAGGTTTGGGAAACTCCAGGAAAGTTGCCAAATTTCAAAGCATTTTTTTTTTTTCTGGCTACCAAAATATCTGATGTCCAGCGACTGACTAGGAAGATTAATGGGAAGAGTTAAAAAGAAGATTACACAGGATGGAGAAAGATCATGTTTGGCTGGCTACCAAATTCTATCATCTCTGCAGAATTTACTTAGTTGAATTAGGCTAATGGATCTTAGGATGTTCTCTGGGAATCCACTGGAAGGCTTTCTGTGCAGTCACTGGAGACTTAAATAGTGTCTAAATTAAGAACAGTGGTAGACAGAGGCAAAGTTCCCAATCAGAAAACACTTTCCTATCTTAGGCTGAAAGCAGATGTCATAGAGGCAACAAATGATGCATGGTTCACAGGGTAGAATATATTCCAGCCTTTCTCATTTTCCACGAAGAGATTGTCATCTACTCTGGTTACCTAACAGTAGTTAGTCATTCTCATATTGGATGGCTCCCAAGTATTAAGATGGGAGTGGCCCAGGGTGACTCCAGTCCATGGAACATACATGTTGACTTCCAAAAATAAAAAATAAAAACTCTCACTTATCCATTCTCCTTACACCCATTAATTTTCCAAAGGTCCTGCTCTATAATAATCCCAGAGTCAGTGGGCTAGTGTGGAAATAATTTGGGACTTGGAATCAGGAGGCTGGGTTTCTTGGATTGCCTTAGTCTGACAGGCTCTGAAGTGATGGATGAGTAGAGACTTCATCTCCCAGGGCACTATGCCCCTCATCTGTAAAACAATGATAGCAACTGTTGGAAAAGATGAACGTGAAAAGTCTTTTGTAAACTTTAAAGGTTTGTGCTCATATAAGGGCTTGTTAGTCAGTATACCCCTGTCATGACTTTATGACATTGCAGTATTTACAACAAAATGATTTTTTAGCAATGAGACAATGATAATGAGCACAAGGAGTATTTTCCTAGATGATCCCTCCTTATTGCAACTGGAGAGTCAGAGCCAGGCACATACTTTATGAATGAGAAAAGAATTAAGTTGTTTAACTAAATCTCCTTGGGCTGTGGTTAAGGGTTGGCTGAAGCTGTCAAGTCAGGCCCCAGGAACCACAACTTATTGGACTACATTTTTATTTTTATTTTAATGCTTTTCTCAGTCTAGTGTGCTACTAGTCATTTGTAAGTTGGTCAGCTTGTATTTTTGAATGGCAGGGTTTATTTTTCCTCCTTTTTTCCCCTCTTTTGGTTAGTGAGTGGGCAGTTAGTTGTTTTTTGTGAAATGTATGTGTGGGAAACCTCTTTATAAAATGACACAGTGGTAACCGTGTCAGCTACATGAAAGGTAGACTTCTAGTACAGATTCTGCCCAAACCTGTTTGGGTTTAGGTATTTAATACTCCATTTACCTTCTGCTCCTTCACCTGATCTACACCTGTTACTTATGGCATGGTTGGGGGGATTATCACTATCTCAGTAGCTCTCTTTCAATACACTCCATTATGTTTATTAGGATGTCTCACTCAGAACTTAATATACCAAGCATATATTTCTAATTCAATAATAATTGTAATAATAACAAATATTTATATAGAGCCTAAGAATGCTAGGCATTTTTCTAAATGTTTTTATTTTAGCTACTTTTAAAGTTATATTTTTAAAATAAGCTAATTATATTTAAAGTAACCCATTCTGAGTGTAGAAGACAAGGAAATCATGGCAAAGTACAAACCAACGTAGTCTACAAAAACTTTTGGCCTATTTGAGTTTGATGTTAAAAAATGCTTTTCAGTGAACCTATGAGTATCTTGTCTTTCTTGTTGAAGGAAAACCTCTTTTTATAATTCTAAATAAGAGTTGAATATGCAGTTGACTTTTCCAAATACTTGAGGCATGGCCTCTATTTGGCTATGTATCTTAATTAACTATAGATTAGAGCCATCTTTCCCAAGAAAACTGTTTTATGTTAAGAAGTTCCATGATGGGAAAAAAGTCTGCTTGTTTTCTTTTTATTGCTAAGAAAAATATTAGCACAAATATGGCAGCCTAAAATAACATATGTTTACTATTTCACAGTTTCTCTGTGTCAAGAGTCTGGGGAGAGCTTAGCTGGGGTCTGTTGCTTCCAAGTCCATTATAAGGATACCATCAAGTTGTTGACCAGGGCTGCAATCTCTTCTAAGGCTTGACTGAGAAACTATTTTCTTCCAAGTTCAGATGACAGAATTTGGTTCTTAAAGGATTATTGGACTGTGTTCCTCAGTTCCTCATTGGTTGTTGGCTACAGGGTGCCCTCATAGTTGGTTGGTTGTTTTTGCCTGTCCCATACAGCCATGTGCATTAAATTGTAAGCTGAGAAGGCTGTAAACTGAGTCCGCTAGCAAGATAGACATTTCAGTTTTATGTAAGGCAATCACAAAGGTGACATCTCATCATGTTTTCCATATTCTATTGGTTAGAAGCAAGATCCAGGCCCTTACCACACTTAGAAGCAAGTTACACGAACCTATGAATACCAGGAGGCAGTGATCTATAAAGTCCATTTTGGAGTCCTTCTGCCATAGGAAGGAAGGAAGGAAGGAAGGAAGAAAGGATATTGTGCTGAGTTAAGGGTGAGAACTACTACATATCGTATTGATACTTAGGATGTTCATAACGCCTATTTAAGAAGTCCTCTTAAATTTTCTTTAACCCAATACTTCCCAAACATATTTAATTAAGAAACTCTTTTTTTATCAAAAACTTTTCTGTAGAAAAATGTTTGACAAATATTGAACTACAGAAAAATATATATATATTTTTTCTATTCATCCAAAAGATTTGGTACTAAAACTGGGAGCTTGTTGGTATATTTCCAAAATCCAAGGAATTTTGTATTTATAAATTTTGATGACAATTTAAAAATGAGAGGGGCAACTAGTGGGTCATGTGAATAACCACCTATAGCCAAACACTGCCATGAGATTGCAAACTTCATTGGGTGTAGGTGCAGTTACCATCACATTAGCAGCACTTAATAATATTCATTGGTTAAGGACAGTATCAGTATGGATGGACCTGGAGAATAATACACTAAGTGAAATAAGCCAGCCAGAGAAAGACAAATACCATGTGATTTCACTCATATATGGAATGTAATGAACAAACTGAACTTACAAGCAAAATAGAGACAGACTCACAGGTAAAGAGCAGGATGGCAGCTAAGGGAAGGGAGGGGCGGGGGTGGAGGGATTGAGCAAAAAGGAAAAAGGACTCATGGACATAGACAACAGTGTGGTAATTATTGGGGAGGGGGAAAGAGGAATATAAAGAGACTAAATGGCAATGGAAAAAAATACAATAAAAAATAAATAAATGGCCCTGGCTGGCATGGCTCATTGGATTGAGTGCCGGCCTATGAACCAAAGGGTCACAGGTTTGATTCCAAGTCAGGGCATAAGTTGGGTTGAGGGCCAGGTCCCCAGTAGGGGACACTCGAGAGGCAACCACACATTTATATTTCTCTTTTTCTCTTTCTCCCTCCCTTCACCTCTCTAAAAATAAATAAATAAAATCTTTTAAAAACTAAAAAGATACATGAAACAAAGTAGTACAAATTTATAAGTAATGAACCAGATCATGGTCAAAATTCATCTTGGTACACTAATATCGTATAGTAATTTTAGTCAAGTTATGGTAGAATAAATGAGTCATTATACACCAAAAGTAGTAGAGGAATATTGGGTCAAAGGACCTGGGCCAGATCTGTTAATAGAATATTTACATGGAATGTAGCTTATTAGTTTCCACAAAATAGCATTGACCATTTCATTAATATTGTTTATTTTAATTTAGATGGTTTATGATCTTGCTTTTATTTAACCTTATAAATTGGTTTTGGTATCATAGTTATTTAAAACCACAAAAATAAATACTGTATTCATAATTTTATAATTGCAAATATGGAAGTAAAATTATGGTACAAATAGTTTGTTAACACCGTAGTTCATTAGGGAAAGTTTGTTTTAACAGATAACCATAATTACTAGAGACCGAGAAACACTGCCTCATCATTTTAGTATACCATTAACTGTGGCTTATAGTGACTCCTTTATCCTATCTGGACTAATAAACATGTAGTGCTGCTCCCTAATTTGACCAGTCTATTTTACAGCCATAGAATAGATACCAACTTCAATAGTCTTATCTTTCTTCAACTGGCATATTTTAGACCAGTGTGTTTGTGACTATTGCTTGACTGCGCAGAGGAAAGGAGTAGATGTGTCCTCTGCATCACTCCCTCCACAGTGAGCTATTGGTATTGACAGGCACATACCAGCTATTTTAGGAATATTAGCAATAGTAGAAAAACAGCGTTTTTCTTTTCTTTTCACTTTTCCAGTTCAAGATGGTTACACTCTGTTAAATCCGAAGATTTCTCCACCATCAAAGTTTTTGTTCTTTAGTCCTATTTCCTATGAGTACAAGACCTGTCAGGTCTAGATTTTATAATTTCACCACCTAAAACATGGCCCAAATACATCATTCTCTGAAGAGCCTCTGTGAGGCTAATTTCATAAAGCTATGGACTCTAAGCAGGGAGCAAGCAGGTGCCTACAGGAAACCATCTGTACAAAGAAAACCATATAAAGATATGCCCAGGGAGCAGAGTAGAATAAACATTGCAAAAGCAAGACCATAGAAGTGGTTTTCTATGGTTCCAGGTAGTAGTGGAAAGAAGAGTAGGAAGGAGTCGGATGACTGGGGTGTGACAGTTCTGATGGTGTGCGTTTACAAGCTGTGTATCCCAGTGAAGGCATCGCTCTCATACCCATGAAGCTGAGATGTTTATGGCATGCCTGGGAACATAGACACGTGATCAAGTAATTGCATGTGACGGTACACAGCAGTGGTCGGAACTAAGGGCTGTGGAGAAGGGTGGGTCCAGTTACTGAGAGACTTCCGAAAAGTCTTCCTGGAGGAGATCCTGTGAGATGTCCAGTCTGCTTTGCAGGATCATCACTGGAATCAAATGAAAGGATAGTTTATCAAACCCAAGATACCGCGCAAATGTGATATATTGTCATGACATTTTTTAAAAACCTGGTAGTCAGACAGACAGCTGCCTTTTTCCTGAATCCATATTGTGTTTGTCAAATTCCAAATTTGTCTTAGCATTCCTAAATATTTATGAGGAAATTGCCTCTCCTGAACTGCATACTGCAAGCTGTTGGGTGTTCTGTGCTTCCCTCTTCGGGGACAGAGGTAACAGAGAAGACGATGTGCTCTGTCCCTTCAGGTGGTCCTCTGCTCTACGAGAACATCACGTTCGTGTATAATTCGGAGCAGCTGAATGGGACTCAGCGGGTCCTCCTGGATAACGTCCTATCAGAAGAACAATGCCGGGAGCTGCACAGTGTGGCCAGTGTGAGGACCGGGGCGGGCGGGTGCCTGAGCTGGCCTACTGCGAGCCTGGAGCCAGAGAGCCAGGCCTGAGATGTCACTTTCTTTAGGAGAAAGACATTGGCTGTGGAGGCACTTCCATAGCCTCTGGGTTAAGGTGGCTTTAGTTTTTTCCAGATCTGGATATGGCTAGTGGATCTGAACTATTTAGTGGCCAGATTCCTAGGCCAGCCATCCTGCAGCATATGTGTGCCCTGCCTACCATATAAAGTTGCTGAGAAAACCCCATTATTTTCATCAATAATAAATAATATATTAATCATTTATATTCTACCTATGTCAACAGAAGTGGTGGTATTTTATAGTAAAAGTTAAATAATATTCCCTTTGACTGGAAAAATGAATGATAACGGGATCTTGGAAAAAGATGGGAATGGTTCTGGGCATTGACTTTGGTTCTTAGCTTTCTGGCAATCAACGCAGACAGGGAGACCTGGTGAATCTGTAGGTATCATTAAGAAAACATCTTCTTGTATCCTTCTTCCAGGGAATCATGCTTGTTGGTGATGGATACAGAGGAAAAACTTCACCCCACACACCCAATGAGAAGTTTGAAGGCGCAACTGTCCTGAAAGCACTCAAAGTAAAGTCTTACCTGGTCTTTGGTTTGGGTTCCTAAGTGCCAATCCAGGACCTTCTGTGAATGGCAGGCACAGGAAAGAGAAGAGCTTAGAATATAGTTTTACCAGGACAGTTGAAGTGAGCAAGTTTGAAATGGCACCTGCGTTGCTTTTAAATCTTCCTTGATTCTTCCATTCGGTCACCGATTTACCAAACTTAAATGTTTCCTAAATGTTTTTCTGACCAATAATATACAGCTCCTGCCCCCGCCTGCCCCTTCTCAAGGAGCTCATGGTCCCATGATGAAAACATACCGAAACAAGTAATGACTCTGTATTGCAAGTAGTGTTGTTAGAGAGGAACGAAGACAGTGTCATGAGAGAAGAGAGTGGTTAGCTTTCATGTTCTCTCGGTGATTAAGAAGGCTTATTTCAATGGTTCATTTTCCTAACCCAAATTCACAAGCATGTAGTAGTATTCCCACTAGTCAATGGAGAGATGTCTATTATATATTGGCTTACTGCAGCCTAGAGTCTGTTTTTCTCAAGCTCTCCAATCAATCCTGCGGTAACTAATGTTCTCCTTTTTCTTCAGTTTGGTTACGAAGGCCGAGTCCCATTGAAGAGTGCCCGTCTGTTTTATGACATCAGCGAGAAGGCTCGAAAGATTGTAGAATCCTATTTTATGCTGAACTCAACCCTGTATTTTTCCTATACACACATGGTCTGCCGAACAGCCCTGTCTGGTAAGATTCGAGTCTGAACTTGTTCCCTTCTACCCACAGTGAGAGAAGAAAGAAAGCAAAGCTCTATTACATGATACATGAATGGTCTAGAAGAGTTCTAAATTTCTAAAACCAAAGAAACTTAATTTCCCCTTCCCTCCTTTTCTCCTTTTTGTCCCCTAAATACCAGCAGATCGTCGCTCTGCCTAGTTTTCTTTTCAAACCAACTTCTACTTTCTTAAGGCACACAGAAAAGTGCTTTTCTGCCCTGGAGAACTAGGAACCTGGGACTTACAGTGTCCTATTACACCCACAGCATCCAGTGGTGGTGTGGAAGGAACTGTTGAAATAAATGTTCTTGAAAAGCCTGAGGCCCCCTCACTCCCTGCTGTCTTCATTTCTTCCCTAGATCTCCTCTTTTATCGCCTCCTGAGTAGGGGCAGAAGGGTAATGTCATAGGGTGAGGCTTGGACACTTGGAAAAGTTCCAGCTAACTCAGGTCTTATTTTTTTTCTGTACATTTTCATTTCATCCCCCTTCTATTGCTGCTCCACATGAAGTACAACCCATGAAATGCATGGAATGTCTATATGTCTATTTATATCAGTAACTTTTATAGCTGACGCAGCAGGTGTGACTTGCTCACAGTTTTACATCAAGCTCAGAGCAAAGCAGGGCCAGAGTCTCCGGACTGCTTACCCAGGGTTCTTTCATCTATTCTGCTCAGCTTTCTGCCTCCTCCAATTCGCAAGGGCACCAGCAGTGGGAGAAGACAGTCCTCTTGCAGGACTGCTGTTGGAGCTCACTGACCTCTGTCTCTCATCCTCCCCTGTTCCCTGCCTGGCAGGTCAACAGGATAGAAGAAATGACCTCAGTCATCCCATCCATGCTGACAACTGCCTGTTAGATCCAGAGGCCAACGAATGCTGGAAGGAGCCTCCTGCTTACACGTTCCGGGACTATAGGTACAGCCAGCACCTGCTTCAAAGCCAAGCTTTTGGCCAACAGTTATCAAAGACCCTTGGAATCTAGAAAGCCAATCTTTTCTGCTTGTCATCATATTCATCCCTAAAAGCAGAGACTCTCAAATGATTTTTTGAAGTGGCTGTCACAATCAAGGAGTGACTTCATCATCTCATATTTTTACCTTAAATCTATGCATGTTTTTGCATCCTATTCCACAAAATGTAAATTTTGTTTTAATTTAAAGATACTGTTTATATATATTTTTTATGATCACTTAGCTTTCACTGAAATATATCTTTTATGCAAAGGGACCTTATCATATTTCTTATCTATGCCTTCATTATACAAACTAGAAACTGGAAGCTCAGAGGAGAAAAATGTTTTCTCTTATTGAAAAATATTTTAGCCTGTAAAGAGAAGAGTCAGAAGTTATAGTCACCAGGTGTAGATAATGTGTTATTATTCCATGCTCTCTCTATACAGAAACAGTTACTGAGCGCCCCCTATCCACAAGGCTAGGCTACACCACTTGGAGCTCTCCAGCTATTTAGGAAAAAAATACATTGTTTATAATTACTAGTATGACAGGGAAGAAGAGAGTTTTAAGTAGTGTAGCCAGGTTCAAAGACCTAGATTAAATCCAGTTAGGTTTTCTTTGAAGGAATTAAAGTGCAAGATGAGCTGTAAACTATAATTAAAAATTTAACATAAGTGGAATAAATACTTCAAGGGTATGATCTAAACTACATGTGATCTTGCTCTTGAGGGTTAGGAGGGTTGGTTATTTCAATGTCTAGTTCAAAGGAAACTTAGTGATCATGCTGGTCAGTTCATTACCCGTCTTCAGTATTCTGTGGTAATATTGTTGTCACCATATAATAGTACAAACGATTCTCTGTTCTTCTTATAGTGCTCTCCTATACATGAATGACGACTTTGAAGGAGGGGAATTCATATTCACGGAAATGGATGCCAAGACTGTGACTGTAAGTAAACCTATTCTTGCATAGTTATTTAGTATCTTTTATCTCAGTCTTGCTACTTCCCAAAGACTGAAACTGTTGGATTTCAAATATTTCTGAGCTGGAGAATTCAAGAGGTGCAAAGAGGCTCAGTAAATGTATACATCATGAAAAGTAAGAAATGGAACCACCAATAGAAATCTTCTAGTCCATTTTAAAGATGGGGAAATTAAAGACTAGAAATATTAAGGATTCCCTAATCCTCACATAGCTAGTTCAGTTAGACGTGGAACTAGAACCTTAGCCTTCTGATTATTTGTCAGATAACCTGGTGGAAACATGAAAACACTAATTCCTAAGTCACCCAAGGCTAGGACAAGTCAAAAGATTCTATAAAGTGGCTTTCAAGTTACCTAGTATTGTACATACTTGGATTGATCATTGGCCTCCAGACCCCTAGTTATGAAAATTATATAAGTGCATGTATATATATGTGTGTGAATGTGTGAGTGTGTATTTGTATGATTGTGATTACAGGTAAGCCCATACCTGAAAATTGATATGTACACATTCTCATTCACGTATGTTTGTGTACATGTTCACATAACATGTTTTAGATGAGATTCTAAACATACCTTTATAGGTAAAAATTGAAAGTTAAATTCAACCACCGTCTTTCTAAGCAAACTGATTCTTTTTGAAAACCAGCCTGGAGAGCATTTATAGACCATATGGGCACCACCCTTTGGTCTTTAAGCCAAATAGTATATGTAGGGTAAGAAGCAGGTTTTCCAATGAAGGAGATAATTGAATTATAAATAGATTATGAGATACCTCTTTCTTCCATACAAAATCTAAATAGTTGGGACATTCATGCATGATAAACTTCAAAGGTTTTGCATTATATAAGCTATTTACACAATATTTCCTTAGTTTCTTGGTTTTTTTCCTCATACTTTGCTTCTTTTCTTAATAGTGAAACAGCCATGTATTATTCATGACATACCACTAGAGTGTAAGCAGATGATATTCAAAAACTGTATGTTACTGTAACAGAGGAAACCTATGCAAATTCTGGTTAAAATTGTTATAATTAAGAAATAATATTTCATATATTTTAACAATAATGTGTATTTAAAAGGCTATGATGGCTATACTTTTTGGTAAAAAGCTTAATACTAACATGGGAGTAATTAAATCAAGATTGATGGTGTGGGTTGGAGTTTAAAGTCTCTATACAAAATTCTCATTTTTCAAAGAAGAGCTTCTGAGCAGAAAGGATTTGATTTCTGAGCTCTGCTAACAACGAAATGGATTCCAAACTGCTTGCATCTCGCACAGTGGGAAATTCAGACAGGTGGTTGAAAATATTTATTTGCTTCTACTCCACCGCGTGGCCAAATCTGGAAATGCTCCGTGTTTGAAAGTGATGCGTGAAACACTATGTATGAGTCAATAATTCATTAATTGTTAAATGCAAGTTAACTGGAATTCTTTGTCCTTAGTATTACGGACTTTTATTTTTATTTTTAAAGGATTTTTATCCAATTTATTGGGGTGACATTGGTTTAAAAATTATATAGGCTTCTCAGGTGCACAATTCTACAATACATCCTCTGTCTACTGTCTTGTGTGTTCACCAGCCCAAGTCAAGTGTCCTTCCATCATTATTTATCCCCCCTTTATCATATTCTACATCCCCCATCCCCATTCCCTCTGGTAATCACCATACTGTTGTCAGAGTCTTTGAAGGTTTCTTTTCCTACCTTTTAAATTGAACACTCCACCACCGCCCTCCCCTCTGAGAGCTGTCAATCTGTTCTGTGTATCTATGAGTCTGTTTCTGCTTTGTTTGATAGTTTATTTTGTTCAGTTGATTCCACATATAAGTTAGTTAACTGGAATTCTTCTTTTTAATGATGTGAAAGCAGATAATACTTCGCTTTAATAGTTCGATCCTTTTAATATAAAGGTGTAATTATTTTAAAATTCTTTCCCCCAAAAGTAAAAGAAAAACCTGATTTAAACAATGTTTTTATTCAAAAGTTCCAATTTGGGAGATTTATTTTCCAAAGTTATTTCTACTTACGATTAATTTATATGGTAGAGTTCTTAGGGCATTGTGTAGATAATCAAATCCCCAAGCAGCCAGCCCCAATAACAGGGATAGTTTTCCTTTTCAGTTTTCCCCTCTTTGACTCTAGAGGGACAAAGAAGAGGGGGGATAACCCCGTCTGAGGGTGCATAAGAGGTAAAGTTTTCTAAGTTCTTTATTTTTTAAATATCTGGAAATTATTTAATTAACTGAATGGTGGCTGAAGGTTTACGTTTATTCAAGACAAGTATGACACGAAGGCTCCTCTGACATTTAATCATCCATTGGATAGGAAACATACTTGGAAGCTACATGGATTGTTTCAACAGCAGCGTTTATTTGTGAAACATGGGTATTTAGGGATTTGGGTTTCTCTGTTCAGGTTTCCAAAAGATAAAATATAATGAGTTCCATTTGCTTCATGAAAAATTAAAATCACTGTGGAGCTGTGTTCCGTAAGTATGTTTACAGTCATTCTTCAGTACTGCAGAACAGATTTCCCTGTAGAAGCAATGTCATCGGTTGAGCCTGTTCACTCCTCCGTGTACCTGATATATAACAGGTGAGGCCGTCTGTATAATCACATTAGTCCTAAAGACTTCTGTGAGCCCACACACCTATAATCAATTGCACCTGCTTCAAGCAGTCGATAGCTTCTTTTCCTAGACTTTCCCAAAGTTCTCCCTTTGTAAAAATGCCATCCATTCTTCAAATTCCGTGAACTGTCCCCATGCCCTTTCTTTAGTATTGTAAGATGTTGTTGCCAGGATTCAGTAATCACACAGAAGTGACTACAACTACTTGTGCTTAAGTCCTGACCAGCACTAGGGAATGAGCAGCAAGAAAACTTGGAACAAGTTCTCACAGCCATGTGTACAGGAAGGCTTTCCTATTCTATGTCATATGTGTCAAATATGATTTATTTTGCTGTTTTATGGGAAATGTACACAGATTGCTTTGTTAGCAAGACAAAATCAGCCTTGGCTGGTATGGCTCAGTAGGTTGAGTGCTGGGCTGCAAACCAAAGGGCCATCGGTTCGATTCCCCATCAGGGCACATGCCTGGGTTACAGGCCAGATCCCCTGTGGAGGGCATTCGAGAGGCAACCACACATTGATGTTTCTCTCCCTCTCTTTTTCTCTCCCTTCTCCTCTTTCTAAAAATAAATAAATAAAATCTTTTTAAAAAAAGGATAACAAAATCAAATTGATGCTGAGGAAGCAGTTATTACTGAACTCTCTAGATTTACATCAGAAAAGTCACCTCAGTAAAGCTACCAAACCAAAGCAACTCTCTCTATTAACAAATAACTCCTCCTCAATTATTGTGAAAAGAGGAATAACCAGAAACTGCTCTTCTCTGTTCTTTCCTTTAATACGCACACACACATACACACACTCACTCTCCCCTGGATCTCAGACTTTTTGATTCTTCCCACCTTCCTTCAATTTCAGCCTTCCACATGTAGGTCACACAGTCTGGGAGTACTTATGTTAAGAAGCAGCCAAGGACTTCAGGCAATTTCCCAAATATTTCTCCTGAAACTGTCTTTGTAAAAACTTAGCCTTCCCTTGTTATGGTAAAGGAAACCAAAGAGTCTTCTAAAGGGCATCTATCAACCCAAGTCAGTTCAGAAACTAGTGAGAATGGGTCCGTCTCATCAAAAAGAATGGTTGGTACCACTTTTTTGCTCTTACTTTTCATTCTACTATGGAATGAGTTGTTTCTTTGTTTTTCAAGAAAGGAAAGTTTACTTACAGTCAGAGGTTTCTTTCAACATGGAAGCAAAGCCCACAACCATTCCTTAAGCTTGCTCAACTTGGAAAGACTGCTTGTTTGATCTAATGCCCTGGCTCAGGGCCGCCCCAGCCACATGTCTTCCCTCCTACCCTCCTCTACCTAAATGTTCCTGGATAGATCCACCTGAATGATGCACGAGCTTGGGAGGACTGTCAATCATTTCAGAGCCTGGGAGGCCATGCAATGGGTCACCCCAAGAGGCAGTGTGTTCTCAGGAGGTATTAAAGCATTGGCTGAAGACCACAGGGCAGGAATATTGTAACAGGAATTCAATGATCATATGAGATTAGACTTGACTTTTTTAAATCTTTGTATTATGAAAAGTTCACAAACTTTAAATGTATGATTAAGGAATTAGAAAAGGTACATACACGCATGGAACAACAACCTGGATTGATAATAAAAATTTACCAGCACTCTAGGTGTCCACTTAATTTGTTTTTATCGTTCCACAGATAGTGAATGTACATCTATGTATGTATGCCAGATGCTGTGGTAGTGCAAAGTGAGAGAAGTAAATTAAAGGGGAGAGCCTTGGCTTCATGGGGTATGTCAGCTACCAACACAGCCTGTATTGAGCAATCACTACGTGCCATGGACCATGCCAGTCATTTTACCTGAATAATTTTATTTTCTGAATTAGATATTATTTTGACCTTAACTTTGTTTTACAGATGAGGAGATAGAAATAATCTATGTCTTCTTCAGCTTCAGGATTCCATTATTCTTTGATTCAAAACTGGACCCAAATAATTCCATTGAAGGATAAAGACCAGGGATTGTGGAGATGCTTGTGGTATAGGAATTGAGAGTCTAATCTTCCCTTTTTTTCCTCAGGCCTCCATCAAACCAAAGTGTGGACGTATGATCAGCTTCTCATCTGGAGGTGAGAACCCACACGGGGTGAAGGCGGTCACCAAAGGCCAGAGATGTGCTGTGGCTCTGTGGTTTACCTTGGACCCACTTTATAGAGAGTTGGTGAGTTTCTGACCCACTCAGAAAGCCAACTACATGCTCCATAGACCTGCTTCATAAACTGATTTATCTGAAAAGCCCTATAAGTTGATTCGTAACCCTTCAGGAACCTTAGAGATCATGGAAAACAAACCAACAGAAACCATTTTATAGCTTTTACAGAATCCTTTCTCTCTTATTCCTCACACTGACTGTTTTTTCACTCAAGGACAACTTTCCTTGTATCTAATGTGTGTAGTGTGAGTTTGAGGGGAAGAAGAGGGAATATGAAGGCAATTCTTAATCACATCAGCTCTAATAAGTGAATGTTTGCAGAAGGCGGTACATCAGTGATATTTGGTAGTCCTTAATTAGCCTTGAACTTCATTAAAAACCTGTAGCATCAGGAGAAAGGAACCACTTTCTATGGGTTACTAGGAACAGTGATTTATTTTCTCAACAAATCATTAATAGCAGCACTAATTTATAAACCTGTAGAACAGGTGAGGGAACCTGAAAGTCCATTATTACGTATTATGATTAAAGTAAATCTTAAATAGTAACATTGTTTGTATTATATGGGAAATAGCTGAGGATACTTTAGCCTGGATAAGAGACCATGATCTTACCCCTGGGCAGAGGTTACAGTCTCTACCTGTGAGGCTGCAGAGGAGTGGATTAAGACCAGTGGTAGAATTCCCTACAGGAAAAATTGGGGCTCAAAATACAGAATAACTTATAAATCATCACCACTGCTTGGTGGAATTGTCTGCTTTGGAAGTGAGAGTTCCTCGTCACTCCTGGCTCCAATCAAAGGCTCAGCAACTGCTCGGCATGGAATGGAATGCAAAAACTGAAATGGAAACTTCACAGCAAGGGCTCAACTAGGTGACTTGAAAGCCTTCTCCAGCCCCATGTGTTGATGAAGCTAAGGAATTCTGGTCTTTAAAATGACATTCCATCCAATTTTCCTCTTTAGATTCCTAAGTTGAATCCAATTTGATCAGAAGCGGATTAAAATTAATCCAGTTTCTCATATACTTTCGCCATCAAATGTAGCACACATTTCCTAAGCATTCTTTCATGCACTTACCAAATATTTACAGCAGAACTACTCTTGTGCCAGGGGAATTCAGCTAGGCAGGCCCTCGGAGTTCGAGGGGGGAAAAAAACATAGTCCCTGACCAGGAGGCGCCTGGAGAGTCCACAAGGAAACAGACGGTGGGAAGACGGCAGTGTGAGTTCTGTAGGGGAATCAAGAAAGGCATATAAAAAAGCACAGTCCTAAAAGAGAAGATGATAGCGAGGCCCAGGAGAAAATGGTCCTGACTGAAGGAACAGAGCACAGAGCGTTCAGAGAATTTCAAGGGACACTGAGCAATCTCCTTCCTCTGTAATTCCTTCCTTCTCTGTGCCTCTCCGCTTCCAATCGCCAGCGTGCTCCCGCAGTGCCCTGCACTAAGAAACCTAGATAAGTAGGCAGACAGTGAAGATAACTGGTTGAAAAATTGCCTTACTATTTTCTCTTAGTATTCAATACAGCAAAGAGTTAATCTGTTTATTATTTAGTATCCTAACCCTCTCTTCCAAGATATTTTCTACCAAAATAAGCTAACACAAAAAAGTTCTCTTTGCCCCTTCTTAACCAGTAAATATCAATACAAAGGCCCTGCCTTTGAAGGGCAAGTATTGGGAAATAGCTCCAGTCTGGGCAGTAGCGACATCTAGTGGCCACAGACTAGAATGACCAGAGGTTGGCATCTGTGCTACTAGAAAGTTTAGCTTGTGATGTGATTCCCACACTTAGTTCCACATTGCAATCACCTAGGGAACTTTCCAAACTACTGACATCAGGCTTCCACCCCCAGAAATTCTGGTTTAATTGATACGGGGTGTGACCTGGTATTGGGAGTTTTAAAAAGCTCCTCAGGTGATTCTAACGTGCAGCAAAGTTTGAGAGTCCCGGAATTAATTGCCTCTTCTCAGACTGAATCCCTGAGCAAACAAAGTCTGCCTATGAATACGTTACCAGAGCTGGAAATTCCCATGCTTGTTACAGATTATTTTAAAGGCATTTAATTCCTAGGGAGGATTTCACACCATAAACTCTTAAAGGTACCCAATATTGGAAGCTTCAGTTTCTTGTGTATAGAGTTCCAGCTCTCAGACTTCTTTCCTTTCAAAAGAGACCAGATTGTAGCAGTCTCCTCTGGCAGTCTGGTGCCAAGGTGGGGAAGTTTTGTCTGTACATCAGTTTGTTAAGCATGCATTTTACGTAGCCATCATAACACCAATTTAGATTTCTTTTTTTTTTTAATTTAATTTTAATTTATTTTTTCAAATACATTTGTCTCCGCCAACCCCCCACCACTTTCCCTTGCCCCCTTCCTCCTTCCCTCCCTCAGCTCTTCCCCTTTGGTTTTGTCCATGAGTCCTTGCTATATGTTCCTTGACTTTCCCCTTCCCTTTCTTGTCCCCGCCCCCCTCCCTCCTTCCCTCTTGTCTCTGTTGATTTCTTTTCCTGTTATTTAGTATATTTCGTCCTTTCAGTTGTCTTTAGATCAGCATCATTTTCAATTACACACTCTTGAATAAAAGGGGCTTTGTTTTCAAGTTGCAAAATAGTTATTTTCATAACATACTGTGCAAGGCACTGTGCCAGGGACTACCTATAGAGGATACGAACCAGGAAAGACATAACCCCTATTTTCTAGGAGCTTGAAGTCAAAATGGAGTGCTAAGCCAGACACTCGAGTAATTAAAACACAAGGCGCAGTTTGGTAAGAATTCTTAGAGGCAAAGGCATGGTGTGTAGGGGATAGAAACAGGAAACCAAGAAAGGCTTTATTAAGGAGATGAGGTTTGCCGTGAGGCTCAGAGGATGAGCACAGGTCCTTTAGGGAGAGATACTTTAGACAGAGCAAACTCTTTGTTCACTTTTACATTTATCCAGCAAATAGAATGGAGGCCTTGCTAAAGGTCGATAGCTTTTCTGTTCACTGGAAATACAGCCATGGCCAAAAACAACAGGATTCCAGCTTTCATGGAGCTTACCTTCTAGTGGAAAGAGAGACAACAAATAAGTAAAAGAATAAATAATTGAGAGATTTTCAGATAGTGAGAGATGGTACACAGGCAAGAGGAGAAGGTAAGTGATTTGAGAATAAAAGACCCTGAAAGGGAATCGAATGGGCAATCTTAGTATATTGGGACGATGCTCTGACTAACTGAGCTACCCGGCCAGGGCTAACTTCACACTTTGGTGTATGGATATTCAGTTGTCCCACCACCATTTGTTGAAATGACTAGTCTTTACCCGTTGAAGGTTCTTGGCACCCTTATTGAAAATAGTTGACTGTTAATATGAGGGGGGAATTTCTGAACTCTTAATTTTATTCAACAGATCTAAATGTCTGTCCTTACACTAGTTCATGCTGTCAGGAGTGGGTACTGAATTTGTGAAATGTATTACCCTAAATAAATATAAAGTCTAAAATTTAAAGTCTAGGCAAAAATGCATAATTCAGTTTTTAAAAGATTAGCAAAATTAATACGTGGCAGCAACATAATGCATTCTTCTGGAAGACAAGGGTACTTGGGCATGTATGCCTACCTTTTATAGTAACATCAAAGGAAACAACTACTATGCCTCTAGGTGTGGGGTTCCCTTCTGCTAAAAGCCTCAGCCAGAGAGCCTGTATTCTAATACAAACCAATGTGATGCTTCATATCTAATACACATTTTAATAAAATATTGCTTTCAGTTATTTTAAAGTTTTTTAAAAACAACAAAAATTATAGCAAATAATTTAAGCTTAGAATCCTTTAAAATAGTTTGGTTAAGTGAAAGCATGTCACCATTTTTAACATGTTAATTATAAAATTGGAAATTTTACTTTGTACAGACCATAACTTCAATAAAACTCCTTGAGGACAGAAAAAATAAAAATAAAGGAAGGGGTGACACAGTGAGGGCCCTCTGGACTGATGACACTTGAGTTGTCCCCTGACTGACAAGAGGTCAACTATGAGAAAGGCCTTGGGAAGAGGATTCTAGGCAGAGAACAGGTTACAAAGGCCCAGGGACAAGAGGGAGCTTAGAGTGGTCAGGAAACAAAGGACGCCAGCGTGGCTGGAATGCACTAAGTAAGCTGGAGAGTGGTGAGAAAGGAGGCAGGGTTCGGGCCCAACAGGGTGGTTAGGGAATATGAATTATATTCTAACTGGGGCTATGGGGGTGGGGGAAGCTATGTGCTCAGCCCACCCTGCCTCCCCCAGTCCTGGGGAGTTACAGGATTCAAAAGGGTAACAGAATAGCTTTAGCCAACATGCTGTAGACTAAAGTAGTTAGCAAGAAGGTGAAGGAATGGGGAAGATTTGAGATGTCATTTGGAGTTAAACCAACGGGGCCTGCTTGCTGATCAGTGATGAAGGGGGTGTGAAAAAGTGCAGGATAGAATGGAAACATCTGGAGGGGCACTTAGCCTGGACTGGAACTGGGGAATTCTTCTGCGAGTGCTGGATTCAGAGACCTTGAGGTGAGTTAGGAAGTTGGAGCGTAAGATGAGGTGAGAGGGGACAAGTGGAAGAGGCCTGGTGTAAACCAGGCAGCTCCTTATACGCACACCAAGAGCATTGGACCTGGAACTTCGAGCAAGAGGAATGCATGGCAGGGGTGTGGGCAATGAGCAGGAAAGTGACGTGGTCATGAGTTAACTGCGGGGGAGTCTATTAAAAGCATGAGGGAGTGGGATGTGGAACAGGTCAATTTGCAAGCTGCTATAGCAATTGAGTTGAAAGATGATGAGAGTCTAAACTCTTGGTTTTCAAGTGGGAGCTATTTTGCCTCCCCTGGAGCAGTTGACAATGTCCAGAGACATTTTGGGTTGTCACAACTTGCAGGGAGGTGCTACTGGCTGGGGTTGCTGCTAAACATTCTACAACGCACAGGACAGTTCTCATCGAGCAAAGAATTATGTGGTCCAAAGTGTCAGTAGTGCCAAGGGTGAGAAATCCTGGCCTAAGCTAAGGCAACAGTGATGTTGAAAAGAAAGAGATAAACATGGGAAGTGGAACAAATTTATGAGATTCAAGAAACCAAGGTCAGGCTTTTAAGGCACATGGTCGAGCAGTGGTGGTCTTCACTGAAAGAAGGAATTTGTGAAAAGGAACAGACTGGGTCTGTGCAGAAGAAAACGGTGAATTCAGCTTGAAGACTGAATTAGAGAACTGACTTGGAAGTGTCTATAGGACCACAACATAGAAAGGGTAGTGAGCAGTTGAATATGTGAGACTTCTTGGCAGTAGTAAAATCTTGAAAAGTAATTGCTTAGGATACAGGGAAATCTGGAGAAGGCACTGGTGTAGGGATGAGATGAGGTTCAATCCTAAACTGGATTTAATATCCATTCCATGTACAGATGGATGCCTGCAAGTGTTTGGGAAGCATCTGCCACTGGGACTGACTGTGATGCTTGTCACAAAAATGTGTCAATTGTCTTTGTTGCAGGAACGAATACAGGCTGATGAAGTGATAGCAATCCTGGATCAAGAAGAACAAGGGAAGCAGGAACTGCATATTAACCCGAAAGATGAGCTATAAAAATGAGAAAGTGTTCTATCAGATATTTATTTAAGTTGTTAATCTTATGAGAACCTTTTTATTTTTGTACAGAGCCATGGTATAAATTAACAGGTTGATATGAGTCACCATCTCTCCCTTTGGTTCCTAAGGATGCTTGCTTTGCCTCACTTTGTCTGTTTGTCTTGATTTTTTGTCAGTTCATTCATGTCTCAAAGCTCAGTCACCCCTTCCACAACACACACACACACACACACACACACACACACACACTCTCTCTCTCTCTCTCTCTCTCTCTCTCACTCGCTCGCGCGTGTGTTCTCTCTCTCTCTGCTTTGGCTGCAGATCCAAGAGCTCAAGCAGAAGGAGTAAGTCCATTTTTTGGCATAACTACACCCTTGTGTGTGCTGTTATTCTAAAGTTAGTGCATGATTGGGTCTCCCAAGACCTTTCTGGCTCTGAGCTTTTCTGCCACCTCCTCTCGCGGTGCTGATGGCTGAGAGTTTGAGTCTGGGATGCCCTGGTGTGGGGGGGCCTGGGCTGCCTCGGATGTCACTGAGCGGAAGGTCCCCAGGCTCTGAGGAGGAACCACTCTGATGAATAAGTACTGCATGAGATGGAGCAGCCCGGCCTTTTCAGGGCCTTGGTAGCGTTTTTGGTTCTAGTATTTTCACCAGGGAACACACTTACACTGGAAGCTTCGATTCCTCCTCCACAGCGCTACAGAGAGGATGCCCTGCGAGTTGTGACTTTGAAAAGGTTGCTTAGGGGTTTCAATGGCTCTTCACTGCCGAGACTTTGGAAGAAAAATCCTGAGTCCTCTGAATCTGGGCCCATCACCTGAGAGTGGAGGCCACCAGTGAGAAGAGACATTTTGTTCTTAAGAAAAATGGATTCTTGCTGGATTCCAGTCTTCACCTGCATACAGTTTTGTGGCCCCTCCTCTTTGCTACTGTGCTGCATGCAGACTTGTTCTTGTGTCTGATTTGTTTAATAAAGGGAGCCTTATTTTAATATCTGGCATTTGTTTTTCTTCTCCCAGATGTTTGCATTTCTTCAGGTAATGGTTCTGTGGTCCCCCGGGAGCTTTTGGGACAACAGAAGGGCAGCGTCGGGCTATGACCAGTTTTGCTAGCAGATGCTGTGGGGCTGCAAGGAAGGTGGGACATCTGCGTTTGAAGAAACAGAAATGGTTGCAACAGAGGTGTTCATCGAGGCAACGTCTGGTCCGTGGTGCCAATTCTAAGGAAAATACTATGAAGACATTAGCTGGCTTGGGGCTGAGGTGGTTCTAGCCTAAGGAGCCCACTCCTCTAGCCAGTGGGAGATCACCTGCCTCTGTGATGGGCAGCGGCAGAGGTCATAGCCTTTGAGAAATGTAGCAAATCAAGAATTTTCCTAAATATCACATTTACTTTGTGCCACTTTTGATCATGGTTAGTGGTAAGGGCATGCACCCTTTGAGACTGAAAAAAATGAGTCATAGTGATTTACGTGGCTGTCGTCCACCCAACCTTCTCATTGCACTTTCATCGTGGGAGAGTGGAAAGAGCATTAGATTATAATCCCAGCCTGAGCAAATATGCCCTGCTGTGTGACCTGGAGCTGCTCTCTTTTCCTTTCTGGGCTTTAGTTTTCTTCTCTGTAAGTGACAGAATTGGTTGTACTGGTTTCCAAAAGCCCTCCCTCTTGCTCTCAGTCCAAAACAAAGCAATAAAAAACAAAACTGACTTGGGAAATATTCATCAATACAACCACAGTAACTTCTACTAACATTCTGAGACTTGAGAATGGGTTCATTATATGCACATGTGGTTTTAAAATGTTAAGCCCAATTTTAAGGCTATAAAAGTTCCTGAGCTTTGAAAAAGTAGATTGCTATTTGTTTGCTGTCTGGCTGAGGAGTGTTTGCTGGCACTCAGATTTGCTGATAGGAAGATCTGGGCAAGGATCTAATTTCTGTTTTCTGGCAACAAGGCATCAACAAAGAAAACAGCCTTTGGCTTCTTGCAGTCCCACTTCCTGGGTGCTGTGAGAGCTCTGGGAGAGGCAGGGGCTTCAGCACTGATTCTGACACTCAGCCCCACAGAAAGTAGGTGAAGGCCTCCCTCAGTGTCCTTGTGGTAGATCATATCTTGAGCCTTTTGCTGACAACGAAGGAGTTACTCCTGTTTTGTAGGTCACCAATATTGTTTTACACCTGGGACACAGTAAAGCATTTATATTTTTAATCTGTTCCACATCAAGCCATATACATAATTTCATCCAAATAGTTAGGGAGTGTCATCAGATGAATTTTAAAATATGAGCCCCAAAATTACAGTCTGTGTGCTAGAAGAGCCCATTGGAAGTTTTGGGGCTTTTAGAACTGAAGGTGTGAAGAAGGCCATAGAAGTCACAATCCAATCTTGTCTTTCTCCTCCCCATCCCCCATCCCCCCAAGGCTCAGAGACCAGAAAGGTGACTCACTCCCTGGTTACAGAATTTGAATGATGTGAGGATGCCTGGCCCAGGGGGCTTGTGGGCCCAAAGATCCCTGGCCAGGTCAGCGTCCACTAGAGGAAGGGCTGCCTTTCGCTGTTTGGCAAAGGTGGCGCTTGCTCCCCGGGCTGTGGACCTGCAGAGCCGTGCCTGTCCAGAGGGCTGCCTTTTCTAATTCACTCCACAGCACTGCATGTGCTTGAGGAAACCCAGGCTATATAACCCAATTTATGACTTCAAGTCTAGGGCTCTCCATCTGTAGCTCTCGGGGAACTACCATTTGTTTTGTGACTCTGCAGCCCTTGTGTAAAAAGCCTGGAGTTCTGCAAAGCATTTATTTTTACCTACATGGGTGCATTGAATGCGCATCACACACAGCTTGTTCACACACCAATGGGAACCCTTGCAGGGAGTCTGGGCATGGATTATGATGCCCATTTTACAGATGCGGAAATGGAGAGACTGCAATTCGTGAACTCTGAGTGTCCCTATCTAGGGCAGAAGCACAGCCTTTTGAACAGGAGGAGAGAACAAAGCACCAGGGTTGTTTGCTCTCTCAGCTATGTTTTCAGACATATCCAGTAATAAATAATACATTAATGGGAATGAAAATGGTTGATTTTATAAACTCTAAACTTCTTTCATTTTCCTGCTGAATTGTATGTAAAGACACATTTGCCCTTCTCCTCTGAAATATAATGAATATGGATTGCATAATTCAATTAAATCAGCCCCATTTTTGAGCAAATTTAGTGAGCCAGGCACTGCTTTCATGAAACTCACAAAAGGAAAGAAGGTTCTAGTCAGGACTCATTTCCCTCTCCCTCTGAGCAGAAAGGACCTTGAACTTAAATTTCCTCTTGAGGAAACAACTGACACAAGGCAGAGGGATATTTTTGGACATATAACATGCTTCCTTCAGAGCCCTGAATATAAATTGTTTGACAAGGAACTTTTAGTTGAATGCAGTCTATGGACATAGAACCTTTTTCTTTTTCTTTTTTCATTCTTTTTTTTTTCTTTTTTGCACTTATTTAGCTGGGGAAAAGCCATGGAGTGAGTCACTACCATTTAATAATTTATACCTATGAATTTTAATTGAAGCACAAATGCTGAATTATTTCACATAAGAGCCACAGCAAACAACTCTCTCACTGATGTCAAGAAAGGAGGTAATAGGGGCCACCTCACTGGTCCTTTATGCTGAAGGATTAAAATTCTGAAGTGACTGACAATGGTATGGCAAAGAAGTGGCAGAAAATTGAACTGTTGCCATACCCAGAACTCTTGGGGAAACAGGAGACTTTAGGCAAAAAACCCTAAGCCATAAATCAGACCCTAAGCCATAAATCTTGATCTCTCTTTAGCTCCTGCCAAGAAGCCTGTGATGTAAAGTGACCCTGCCACATAGACCCACAGCCCATCCACAAATCCTCCATTCCCAGGTATTTTGACGTTTCCAACATGAGACATAAGGGCTCATTTTGTTTTGGACCTGGTTGATTTCTTCTGACGCGTGGAGACAAGTAACATCAACCGCTTCTGAGCTCACTGCTAGGCTGAGCTGCAGACTCATGCTGTCAGGCCTCCCCTGTTTCTCCTCCCCCTGGTAAGTCACAATGTTTTCTGCTCCCACTGCTGACCTCTGAGGCCAGACGACGTCAAGTCTGGAACAATCTGATCATTGATTCTGCCTTGCTCTGCAATGGATGGTGACATCAGCCATGTGAAAGTTGGCTTAGTGAGTCACCTCTTCCTTCAGAGATCTTGTTAAGTGTTCACAGGAAAAATAACCAAACAAATGTTCCTGCCCTCTCTTTTCCTGACACACATTAATAATGAGGAAATTTGAATGCTCTGTTCAGTCAATATACAATGCACATTTTTTTTTCTGGCCACTTTTTGTGCTACAGTTGGGGGGACAGGAAAGAAAAGGTGAACAAGACAAGTCTAGCCCTCCCAAGGTAGGTCACCACCGAGAAGGTTGAGGATACAGTAGAGTTGGACAAACTTTTCGGTCCTTGTCCTAAGTCTTCTGCTCTGGAAGGGTCAACTAACAGCCTTCTTCATCTGGGTCTCCCTCCACTTCCAAAGTGATTTGAATATATTTGATCTATCCAGGAACTCTTGCCCTTGGCCTCTCCTGTCAGATTTAGGCACCTTCCTTCTTGATGACAGGGTGATGGCATGGGTCCTGGAAATTCAATCGAGACCCTACTTAAACCTCCCTTGCTTTTCCCAAGTTGATGTTTTTACCTCTGACTCACTAGCTGATGGTGGGTGGGGATAGAAATGAGAACCAGGCAAGAAGCATTACCTGCTATGTCTCATCTTTTTCCACTTGTAAATCATATATCCCATTGTTTCCAAGGGTTGTAATCATCGTTGGCATTTACTAAGCTCTTTTATGGTCTTGAAACATTTGACAATCATACGTAACTGCACAATTATCTTGAGAGACACCTCAGTGCAATCTGCACGCTGTAAACAGAGAAAATGAATGGTCACAGGGAAGGTGGTATAGTGAGGCTCTGGCCATTCATGAACAAATTCTTCAGACAGTTTTCGAGTGGCTAGTCAGTAGTGGTTTTAGGGAGGTATTCAAAAACGACTAAGACTTGAAACTTTTCTTCATGGAATTCAAAGTAAAGTGGGAAAAAATAGATGTAGACAAATGAAAAATGTAAAGTGAGGAAAATGCTGTGATAGGTTATGGCAGAAGCAAGTACAAAATAAGCCGTGTGAGTTCAGAAAAGGGAGTGGTTGGAGACGAGAGCCTTCACCGAGCAGGTGACAGTCAAGCTGGGTGTCAAGTGCCTGTTCTGCCACCAAAATGCAGAAGTAAATGAGCCATATGATCTCTCATTTCACCACAGCGTCCTCAACTGAAAAAGTGTTGAATTTGAACTGGGTGATTTCTTGGGCTCTAAACTATTAAGTTTTCAGAAAGGTTGGGAGAGTTCCTACTAAAATTGGTCTTTTAGAGGTGGGGTGGGTTGGGATCTTTACTACAGATGGCCCTGAGAAAAGCACTGTAATGAATGCTGTGAAAATCCAAGTAAATACCAGTTTAAAATAAAGTTTTGTTCTCCTGCGAGGAGTATAGTTAAGTGGGTGGGGTACAGACATCAAGAACTGTGCTTCTTACTGAGGAGCAGGTGAGCAGCAGGTGTCAGAGAAAGCTGGAGTGAACCCATCCTTCAGACTGACAGTAACGAGCTCTCCTGGGGGCATTTTCTTCTGCCCATGAGGCTAAGACACTTCATGTGCCCTGGAACCAGTCTGCTTACTCAAACCCTTACACATCCATCTCATAAATGGAAATAATTAAGATAGTCTTGCCACCTGAGGATATTCAGGTGCATTGTCTGAAAAGCCTAAAGGAGTTGGTAAAATCAGTCAAGCTTTTATTAAAACCAGAAAGCTTTGTAATGCTTTAGTAAAGACATCACTTCCAATGTCAAACAGAATAAGGTGTCAGAAGCTTTGGGAATGCTTAGAAGCAAACCATCTCCAA